TTGTTTTTATGGACATGAAGTCTGCCAATAAAGATTGATTGATTGATTGATTGATTACCTTTGTGTTTGTGTGTTGGTAGCTCCTGGATGAATGCTACTTTCAGCAGGTGGAGAAGATCAAAACCACTGGCAGCTGCTACATGGCAGCTTCAGGCCTCTCACCTGACAGGCAGGTGAGTCCTGCTGTTACATCACAACACTTAAATGCTCCCTCTGAGCCTCTTGTCAAAGGCTCTGATGTCCATACACACTTCATTCAGACGTGCATGTGTGTGTTCAGGATTGTGAGGATGGCTGGAATCACCTCAGTGAATTGGTCCTGTTCGCACTTGCTATGCAGGAAACTCTCAAACACATCAACACACAGACAGGAAACAACTTCCAGCTCCGTGTTGGTAAGTAACACACACACACACACACACACACACAAACATAAATACCACTTTAGTACTCAAAGAAAAAAATAAAAATCTCTACATTTTCATGAGTTAGAAAGAGTTTAGAGGGAGAATTTGACAGTTTTAAACAAACAGTTAAATCAGTAGTTTAGGTGTAAAAGTGAAAGATTTTCACCAAGAATGGAAATCATAAAAACATCAGAAATTTAAAAATGAAAAATTTCACAAATGTATTTACTTCTTTTTATTTTATCTATGAAAAATCATTCTTTAAAATTCTTTGAAATAGATTCTTTAAAAACCATTCTTCTTTATATATTTTTAAATGAATCATTGGTAAACAGTAAATACAAATACTGACATGAATATAATGTTTATGAATAGTGAACTTTTTAAAAGAATTACAAAATTACAAACATGTCTAGAAAATAATTTTTAAACAAAGTTTAATGTAATATTATTATTTTTATTATTATTATTACATTTTTAAAAGCTTTTAAAAAATTAAAAAAAAAATGAAGTGTATCTTTTTCCCTTATTATTATTATGTATTATTTAAACACTCCATGACCTTTGACCTCTAACATCACTTCGAGGTGTGGCTCACGGTCCGGTGATAGCAGGTGTGATTGGAGCCACCAAACCTCAATACGACATCTGGGGGATGACGGTGAACATGGCGAGCAGGATGGAGAGCACCGGTGTGAGCGGGCGGATACAGGTGAGCTCACCTGTTTGCAGAAACATGAGGTCATCACTTCAGCAGGTTTTTAAATGTCGTCCTTTGTGTAGGTCTCAGAACACACCAGCTCTATTCTGGTTGAACGAGGCTTTCTGAGGCAGCTCAGAGGGGACGTTTATCTCAAAGGGATTAGTGAACGCCACGGAAAGGTGAGCCATCATCATCATGTGACCACACACATGACCTAAAGAGCTAAACTATGAGATTTAGGTGCAGGTATGAACAAATGAGTTTGAAAATAGTTGCATTTAACATAAAATTAACATAACGTAACATAACATAAAAAAACTGCATTTTAACTTGGAGGGTTTACATTTAAACAAAAAAAGTATATATCAAGAGTATGACAAAAAATTAGGAATTTTTATCATATACAAATCAAAAGAAGTCAAAATGATGAGAAAGTGCATGACACAATTGTGCAGGAAAAGTGTGTCATACATTTTTGTAAAATTTGCCTAACACAAAGAGATCATTTTTATACATTTTTACCCCAAAATATAAACAGAACTTTTCATGAACATGAGAAAAATATTTCAGATAAGAAAAATATCGTGTTTAATGTATTAGTTACATAAACTGTACACACCACTGATCAAAGTGTTTTCCCTTCAGGTTCGAACATACTTCGTGAGCAGTGGGGAGGAGCGATCCAGCTTCATAGAGCGTGGTGGGGGGCGGGGCTTCAGCCTCAATAGGAATACACTGGGAGCTGTGGTCTACAGTTTGGTTCAAGCCCAGAAAAGGGAGAAGATGAGGGAGGAGAACGGAGGCTTCCACCTGGTGGAGGCGTCGTGAGGAAAAGAAAAAGGTTTGGTTTTGAGGGTAAAAGGTAAAATTGTCAACATTTGTGAAAGCTGAAATGTTGAAGGGGGTAAGGAGTTTGAACATTCATCTGCATCGTCTTAAAGTAAAGGAAAGATCAGTAATGATGGTGATGGATTGTCGTACTTTTGCTCTGTGTTTTGGAACAAACAGCTCCTGTGGTGCTTTGCGGAGCAAAGCTAACAACATGGAATCATGGATGTGCAGATTAAACATCACTAATCACTGAGACACTGAAGGAAAGTTAAAAGTAGACAGATTCTCAGGGGACCTCTCATGTGTCGGTTTCTCTGGTTTCTAAGTGGATTCCTGAAGGTTTATTCTGGATATTCAAGCAGCCTTCCTTTATAAGACTCGTCATTCTGCCAAGACTTCGATGCAGAAAAACATTCATGTTTTATTTTATGTGTTTGTATAGGTCTGATTTCCTCATATGAAACTATGGGTTCTAAGTCAATACAAGATTATAGTTACATTTTTAAAACAACATGTAACTTTTTACAAAACATATTTGTAAAATGATTTGATCAAAGTGTGAAGAATTTTCTTGTTATTCTTTTTAAATAATCAAATATTAAGCATTTATTTACTGTGTTCTTATTCTTGCTGTTAAAGGTTTCAAACTCTTCTAGCAATTTTTTAAAATTGTCATAACTTCATCTGACCACCAGATGGAGCCGAGTGCAGGACCAAAAACATTTCGGGATCAAAGCACTTTACATTTGGATAATTTAGATTTGTGGATATATAAGAGACACATTAAGTTGTGACAGGACTTTGTTTGTCCACAGAGGACAAAGTGTGTCTATAAGAAGTGTTGATTTAAAAAAATAAATAAATAAAAAGGAAAAATAAACGTGGGTTTGTCCATTGCAGTGTTTTTTTATGGTTAAATGTTTGAGCACTCTCATATTGTGGCTAATTTACATTAAAGATCTGCCTAATATTTGACAGCTGTTAATGACACTATTTTGTTATTCTAATAAAATAAACAGGAAAAGAGAAAATGCTAATTTCACATGTGTTTACCTTTAAACTTGAGTAGATTTTTCATTTCTAAAAACACTGAAACTTTTCTTTTAGTAAATCCAGCTCCAATCTTAGGTGTAACTACTAACAGGGTGGTTGTTGTTCTTTTCATAACTAGTTTATGATGATGATGATGATGTAAGTCTAATCTTATGTGAAGCCTGTGTTAAATGTACCTCAGGGCTCAATCTTATGACTCTTGTGATTGCTGAAAGTAAAAGTCACAGGAAAAGGAAAGTAGATGCTGCGTTAATTCAAAGGTTAATATACCAGAACATTATATAAGTAATCTGGACCTTACCTGGGCAACTACGACTCAGGTGAATAACAACAAATGACATATTACAGTATGCCATGTTTGTCCTGCAGTATATCCAACAGGTCCAAGTTTTGGACACAGAGTTACACCTGACTCTAGAATTCACTGGTACAGATTTCATGTTCAAATTCACGGTTGACTCAGCAACTGCCCGAGTCCTGTTGCAAAACCACAAGACCAATTGCTCATGGTTAGTATGAAGTGTTTGTGCTGAAACGCTGTGTTTGGTTTTGTGCATTACGACCAGACATCTCCGCTTTGTTCCAGAAGTCTTGTGGGTTGTTCAGATGCTACTTTGCAAACCTAAACTGTGTTTAAGTTTTGGAAGGCAGCCCTTCCAAACCACCAGCTTTCCGTGTGTTTCACACACTACTTGTGCATTCTGGCTTAATTTTTGTTTAAAAAATAATAAAATGGTTCAGTATGTCATGTTTTGTAGTTCTGCTGAGGTTTTCTTTACCTAATTGAAAGACCTACTAAGTACATGTTCAAGTTCATGGTTGATTCATATGATGTTGTGAAAAACCTTATAATATAAAGAGAATTTAATTTATTTTTGCCATAAGCGGACTGAGATGGAAAATGTGTTTTAGGAAACTTTCGGGTCGTACAAACACTAAATGCTTTCTGTTAGCAAATCAAACTAGAATGGCACAAATGGCATAAGAACTCATTCACTACTACAAACGACTTTCACCGTTAATATTTGTTGGCTAACCTCATGTGAAGACTGTAGCCAGCGCCATTAAATATGATGTACCTCAGGGCTCAGTCATAGGCCCACTGTGACTGTGAATTTAAAAGTCAGTTGTTTATAGGCAAAACAGTTCTATTTGTCTCTTGTATAAACCTTAAAATCCTCCACAACAAACTCATCCATGTACATGTGTAACAGAGAAGCAGAATAATTGTGTGGAGTCTGGTTGATCTCCTGACTATAAGCGGGGGCCTTTGAGGCTACAGAGGGCAAATCAAATGGATTCACAGCTGGAATCCAGATCACATGAGTCTGTGAGTGATCTGATGCTATTGTATGTGTGAGGAGAAAGCAGTGTATTCATTGTGCTGTGTTACAAAACTGCATGTTGGCTGACAGGTCTTGTGACATGGATAAATATTTCCGCTCTACAGTCTAATATAAACCATATAATAATAATAATAATAATAATAATAATAATGATTTAAAGTTTAAAATCACTGAATTAATTGTTTTACACTTTGAGCTGATGGCGATGTAGTGGATTTAAACTCTTAAAAACTGGTGTTATGTTTAAAAAAAACTTTAACTTTAAGAAAATGTTTTTACTGTATTTATTTAATTTTATACCTTTTACTTCTTTTTATTGTTTTGTCAGTATTTATGGTTGAATTATATTCATACTACAAAATATAATTCTTTTCATTATTTATGTACATTTGAATTCTGAGTTTATTATTATGTATTTCATTTTTCCATTTGAGTATGTTAGTATGTTTTCATAGTCATCTGTTTTGTACTTACTTTAATATCATCATTGTTTTATTACATAGATCTTGTTGTTACATATTTTAAATTTGAATAGATTTTCTGGTTTTGTCTCTATTTGAATCACAGTTTGTTTTCTGGCTGTGACCTTCATTGGGGACGACTTTGTTGTAGTTTCCAGTCATTGTTCATTAAAGCTGCTGATAGGCTGTGATTTACCATGATTTTCATGTGTATTTGATGTCAATAGATGTAGTTTGAGGGTTCTGTCAAATGCAAAGATAAATTTTCAGTCTTTATTTCAAGCTAAATAA